ATATGGCAGACTTATTTTGGGTGATATAATAACATCTGTAAATGGAAAGAAAGTTACCAATGGGAGTGATTTGTACAGAATTCTTGACCAATGTAAAGTCGGTGATCAGGTAAGTGAAGTGCAAGTTTTCTTGCCAATTTCCCCAGTTTGAGATATGTTTCAACTTTCATTAGTTCTGAAAGGTCAATTTGATTTCTTATTGGTACAATGTTTATTGATACTTAGGTGATTGTGGAGGTTTTGCGAGGTGATCACAAGGAAAAGATTCCTGTAGTACTTGAACCCAAGTCTGATGAGTCATAGTATGCCTTGTGGGCCAGTATGTATACTTCAATATGGTACATAAACTAAGGAATGCCATTATTTTTGCGTGTCAATTATTTCCTGATAAAGGACCTTATTGTACATATCCTTGTTATGTTACTCTGTTCAATATAAAATCAAACTACATTGTGAAGCAAAAGATACACTCTATTGACTTCAGCACTTATAATATGCCCTATTTAAGTGCAATGCTCTCAGATTAACAATAACATTCATAGATCTGCATGCTTAAACCCAAACAGATTGTGAAAAAAAAGACAACACTTCATCCTAAGAACATGTCTTGATTTGTTTTTCCTATTGCATTGATAATCCGATATGAGATTTATTTTTTGGTTATCCCTGGAGGGATGTAGTAAAGCTGTAGTCTGAACCATCACAAGGATCTCAGCCACAAAATATGGCGGGGGGGAGGCTGTCTCCCAGCATGGCTGAGAGTAAGAAAGTGACAATTGGGGAAAAATCTCATTAGTATAGAAGTTGCAGTCATTTGCAGGCAGTGGGTTGTTAGTGGTGTGGCTTTTGGAGCCCTATATGATCAAGTGATTGGGGACACAAGAGGTAGTCCAGTTGTTTCCGATGGTTTTAATTTTGATGACGACTGGATCTGTTTGCAATTGTAAGATGTAACAATGAATCAGGAGTGTAGCCTGTATTGCTACGTTTAGTGTAGCTCACGGGGCTGTTGCAAATCGAGTAACTACTCATTTACAGCATTCTGCATGCCATGAATTTATGGCAGCCTACTTGTGGCCAGACGATTGATTGACTAATTATATGAACTCAGTATTCAGTGATACCCTTACCCTTATTTTTAGTTGGTACTGCTGGATGATACAGAGGATAATGGTTGTATTTATTGACTCAACTGCCAAGTTTAAATAAAACTTGGTGAAATGTTGACTGTCTTTCGAATAGTAGGAAATTTGTTTTGGTGAGATTTCAAACTTTAGCCAACTTTAATGCTGTACAGAGACTGATGAAGGTAGTAGCTAGTAACAGCTTCTGTGCCCATTATCAACTGTGTGAAGGTATTTTCGTCCTAATTTAAGTTTCTAGTCAAAATAATAAATTATATTGAGATTAAGGAATTAGCAATCTAATAAAATTCAAATAATTTTAAAATATCATAAAACACTAGAATAAGTCAAATTCAAGTTTTTTCAAGAAAAAGCTAAAGCTCCTCCTAAAATCCTATTAATTCAAAATGTTGAATAAATAGTTAAGAATTTTAATAATGCATATGCATGTTGATAAGAAGCCTAATGCATGATGCTTTGATCTATGGGGCATTGTAGACCACTTATTAAATCTCTAATTTAAAATTCATCAAACTTTTTGATGATTTTATACAAACTTATTAGTTTAGAAATTCACAGAGTAATATATGATAAAGTCTGCATCTCTATAAATTTTTAACAATAATAAAATCAATTTTTGCACCTTAAAATCAAAGTTTAGATAATGATATTTTCAAAATATGCAATTAATTTTGAAAAAATTACTCTGTCATCACATATTAGATTGAAAAATTATTCTTATATATCCATAAACTAGACTCTTACGAGGAAGAGGAAGGAATCAATCAAAAAATTTATGAAAAATGAAAATTCGGAATCCTAAAACTATTATTAGGATTTTCATTTTTTTAGCATCGTTATATACTAAAAAATTTATAATTCTCTCAATTCTCATTCAAATTATACAATTTTGGTATTTGTGATCGAACACTGGTAGGAAAAATTGAAAGGACCATTCGAAGCTCATTGTCGTGATGGTTTGTATTTTTTTTTTTGGTAAAATTCTAAATTTTTAAACATTCATAATTTATTCAATTCTCATCGAAATCTTACAATTTTGATATCTATAGAAAGTTTAAGATGTGTCTTAATATTGGTTCACAGTTAATAACATTTTCACTATCTAAAGTAATGATTAGACGAAGAACACCATGCATTGATGGTGGCGAGGTCCCATATCACAAAGTATATTCATAAGTTTTTCCTTAGTCCTCTATTTCAAAAATTCCTCAATTTTAATCCATATTATGTAATTTTAGTTCTGTGAAAGCTCTTATTATGTATTGTACAAATAAAATGGATTATTCTTTTAACTTCTATAATTTAAATGTTATACAACGAAGTTCCAATTTATGGTCTAGGAGACTCATCTTCTTGTTGTAGACTTTCTCTTCTTTTTCTCATCTATTTTTTTCTCTTATCTTGTATTCTTAAAGTTTCAGAGTCATTTAACTACACTCACAATTAACTTATATATATATATATATAGAGTGACTCTCCATCTCTTAATAAAATTCTACTATTTATTTTCTTTATCTATGAAATAATCCCTTTATTGATTGCAATTTAAAATTAGTATCTTAAAATAATTATAGAAATAATAATTATTTTTGGGACCAGGTATTGCATTTAGAATTGTAATGTTGTTTTTGTTTAAATATCTATTATAATTATACTATATTTTGTTTGTATTTTATAAAATTAAAACTTGAATTAAACTAAAAGGTATTCCTAACTCATTAAGTGAAGGAAATGATGGATAGGCTTTGTATTATTAGTGTAGACCTTTTCAAACACGCTTAAAAACTTTACATATCATCATTGCCACATTATTAACAGCATGAAATTAATCCTC